CACAAATAACAATTATAAGCAAAGATCATACTAACGCATGAGGAATATGGAGAAAACATATCATTTCGTTAAACAGTATTACACCATTTGCGATTCCGGAGAATGAACTGTATAAATGACAGTAATACTAAAATATGATAAACAAGATCAACAAGGAAAGGCGGTGTTGAATGAACGCAACCCCATACGACCCAGCAACAAGACCCATTTTAAAGTATGAACAATATTCTTCTTTGCATATTTATCAAATAACTCCGAACAACGATTTACAAAATTATCCTTAGAACCCCTATAAAAAGATAGTGGAATACTATCCGCAGAACGGACAGATACAATGCGTTTCGTCTGAGGTTTAAAAGATAGGGGAATTATTCCCCTATCTTTCTAGTCTCACTATGAATCTCTCTCTGCATGCAAATTTGTTGCTGAAAAAGTGCCTAAAGGTAGACCCCCGGAAAAAGGACATCTGGAATTTCCTTTTTTATTCTGGAACGCATTAAATATACTATTAACTAACTACTATAAGTTGTAGTTAAAGTTTAGATGTAACCACAGTTCAAAATCGATCACAATATATGTATATGTTCCTATTAATTGTTTATCTGTTTACATGTTTTACACACAAACAATAACTAACTTGACCAAACGGTTTTATAATCAGTTTCAACGGATATATTAAATGTATACAAGAAACTTCATATACAATATAAAACTACTGTATTAAATGCCAGTATATGCTTAACATTATTATTCGATTCAAGCTGTTTATACTTAATACACATGATAAGCAGTCAATTGTCGAAACAGACACCAGCAGCCATTAACGTCGATCTTTCAAAGGAGCGAATGGGAGTTTATAGGCTTAATATACATAAACTATTGTTAGTTAAAAAAAATTGTAAAATCACCAATCAGTTATATTGACAAATATCCATTCATTTCATTTAATTTATAAAAAATATCAATATTATTTTAAAGGCAATTTCTTGTTAATATTTTATTCGTTAGAAAACTAGAAATGTGTCCATAGGACACGGGTGCCCCCACCGCGCCACTGTTCTGTCAATCTTTTTACTAAGTCAAGGGAAATAACTCTACAAATACTGGATAAATCCACAAGCAAAACTCCAGGTGCAAATCTAAAATATGCTGAGCAACCTGCCCATAAGGTTTAATGACTATGTCAAATCCTTTTTGAGAAACTTGCAACACAAGTTGAAAATTGCAAAAATTTTCTAAGTGAAGGGCAATAACTCTAAAAATATTAAATAAATCCAGACTAAAATACCTGGTGCACAACTGCACATGCTGATCAACATTCCTGTAAAGTTTCATGACTCTAGGTCAAATACTTTTTGAGTTACGTGCGACACAAGTTGAAAATTGCAAAATTTTTCTAAGTCAAGGGCAATAACTCTGAAAATACTAAAAATATCCAGAAGAAAATACCCAGGTGCACAACTACACATGCTGATCAACATTCCTGTAAAGTTTCATGACTCTAGGTCAAATACTTTTTGAGTTACGTGCGACACAAGTTGAAAATTGCAAAATTTTACTAAGTCAAGGGCAATAACTCTGAAAATACTAAAAATATCCAGACGAAAATACCCAGGTGCACAACTACACATGCTGATCAACATTCCTGTAAAGTTTCATGACTCTAGGTCAAATACTTTTTGAGTTACGTGCGACACAAGTTGAAAATTGCAAAATTTTACTAAGTCAAGGGCAATAACTCTGAAAATACTAAAAATATCCAGACGAAAATACCCAGGTGCACAACTACACATGCTGATCAACATTCCTGTAAAGTTTCATGACTCTAGGTCAAATACTTTTTGAGTTACGTGCGACACAAGTTGAAAATTGCAAAATTTTACTAAGTCAAGGGCAATAACTCTGAAAATACTAAAAATATCCAGACGAAAATACCCAGGGGCCCGTCTTATCAACGGTCGTACGACCGTTTTTATCGTACGATTGTCGTACGTCGATCGTACGATTTTGGCGGTGTCTTATCAAACGTCGCAGATTTTCATAATCGTACGATTATCCTAAGATCATGCATTTTCTCTGCGATCGCTGAGAAGCAGTCGCAGATCAAACAAAATGGCCGCCTTACTACTTGTAAACGAACGCCGCCGACGAAAATCACGCTGTTTTCGGCAACGAACGGTTAATATTGATGATTTAACCGATCGAGAAGTCATTTCCCGATACAGACTCAATAAAACAGCAATTAAAGAGTTGGAGGAACTCTGTCGGGCTGATCTTTCCCCTAAAACATGTAGATCGCAGTCTATTTGCAGCATGACAAAGGTAAATGTATCGAAGTTTCACTGTATTTATTACTCACAAAGCAGTTTGACCTTAACCTTGATTTATTTTTAGCCCAAGCATTATGGGTAAACATGGCGCTGTGTTATGTGTACTGTATACATACAAAAACATTAGACTTGGATCCACAATAACACGGATTTAATTAGAGCTTTGATAACAATGCCGTTGTAAAAGAAAGGAAAAGTGATGTTATTAACAAATTCAATAATTCTTAATACGTCAGAGGAGAGGAATTTCGAGGAATTTGGCTGAATTTGTAGAAATTATGATCAGTAAATAGGAAACAAGGAGTGCATAGCCATAGGCATAGGATGATCTGATGATAGGAGGATTATTTAAACCGGTTTCATTACCTGTAAAAATGGGCAAACGTGTTTTGTTATGAAATGACAACACTGTTCATTTTACATTTAATGGCTGGCAATATCAACAGTTGTTGAAGTTACGAGAAATCAGTAATAAACGATAAAGGATTAATAATTTATGACATAGCACTTGTCCATGTCGTCTATTATTAAAGCTTATCATAAGTGTAGCACTAGCAGGTACGAATAATTTCTTTACATGATAGCTAATAAGTTCTGAGTTTCACAGCCCATTGAATAGAAATGTCATATTTTAGGTATGTATAATAAAAGCCAACACTTGTTAGTTTTCTCTTTTTTCTTTACATGTGTGTGTTTTTATTTATCTCGTGGCCACGAGTTACTAAGTCACAGTGACGCTAAGTGTAAAATTAGCGACAAGTCAATAAGTTGTATAAATTGCACTTTTACAGGCTGGTGAAGTAGGGGTATCCTTGTACTACAGCACATGTCTAGTTAATTGGGGAAAGTAACACAAATGGTGTAATCTGATTGGTTATTTATCACATGGCCACGACTAAGCTATCTCGTGGCCACGACATAGTATATGTGGCCACGACTTAGTAACTCGTGGCCACGACATAGTATCTCGTGGCCACGACTTAGCTATCTCGTTGCCACGACTTAGTAACTCGTGACCACGACATTGTATCTCGTGGCCATGAGATAAATAAAAACACACACGTCACATTTGTGCCACCGTAAAAATCATATAATATCTAGATATATTTTTATCAAAGTAATTTTATTTCAAGCACATCAATAAAGCAATTCGTCTTTCTGTCATTGCAGGTTCTTATTGGACTTCGATACCTCGCAAAAGGCCATTTCATATCAGAAGTTGGAGACCTCCACAGGGTGTCTAAAGCCAGAGCTGCCATTTACATTCACCAATTCATACGAAGTGTAAACCTTCGATTAAAGAATATTAGGTGAGTATGTGGAGCTGTACACATATACAAGTAATTTTACTTACTTATAATAAATTCTATAATAGGACGGGGTTATATTGAATCTTTATTTCAATTTAATTTCTGAGACACTTTGTCAATTAGCATCCATTGATATTCTCGTGATTACATTCATACACAGTAGTCTATTGCTCAATACAAATCTGTGCAAAATTTTATCTATTTTTACTAGATATATTATTTGAAAAAAACTAAGGCAATCCTGTATATCACAGGTAAATATGCACCACATGTTTGCTGTATGTTTGGTACCCCATATGTAAAACATATATGTTTCATGTGTTTTGAAAAACATGTGTTTAAAAACATGTGTTTTTCATATGAAAGATTAACATATGTAAACAGGACCATATGAAAAGCATGTGTCAACAAGCATATGTTGAACTCATGGTTATCACATGTTTTTATATGAATAAGTTTTCATAATTATGTAAAATATATGTGAACTTTCGTGTGTTTTTCATATGATAAATCTATGTATTATATATTCTGCAAACTTTACACTTTTTACAGTCCCTATTTGATTCTAAATGATTGTACATAAATTCTGAAAAGATCCTTTGTTCATGCATCTATGTGCAACTTATGGTTCTGGGAAGAATAGTGTGCCATTCATTTTTATTCATGATTTTTTTCTCCCTTTGTATATTTTAGTGTTTATTTAGTGAAAGAAGCCAAAATGTGGTGACCCATAATGAGTTACCATCATATCATAAAAATGATGCTCAAATTAAGATTTATCAATTTTGTAAGTATTTAAAAAAATATTTCATGTATATAAAGGGAGGTGATAAAAAGATTATTTTCTACTAAGTCTGAGTCAAATTTTTCAATAAGAAATGAATGCATATATTTTGATTATTACATATTGTATGGACAAATATTTGAAGTACATACTTTACATATTCATCAATGTTTGAAAATTGTTTTATAAGCATAATTATATACATATATATATATATAGTTTTACTTACACGTGGTACTGAACACTTAACACTTGTATGAATTATCGAGTTCCAGCAAACCAAACTCTGGAACATAATTTACCATTTGTAATGAAAATAATAATTTTTTTGTGAAAAACATAAGTCTATATCATACATGTAACAAACAGTGACCTTTTCTTGGCCCACCATATGAAAAACGTGTTATTCATGTGTATCCATATGAAAAACATGTGTTTGCATCATATGTAAAACATATGGAGCACTTTTCTGGAAGAAACCATATGTTTTTACCATATGTAAAACATGTGTGTCACATACATTTAACATGCTGTGCATAATTTACCGGTGTACTTACATGGGTTTTGTCTGATATTATCAGTGCCCTTTCTGAACTTCGAAAAAAAAATGCATTATGCCAGCTCTTTTTGTTTTAAGAATAGTTGGCATTACCCTTAATGGACTTCTAATGATATTAGTAAATGCTTGTGCTAACATCATACTAAATGATTAAGGACAAAAATATTTTTTCTTTCTGATTTTATCTAGCTTTTGTGAATTTTCTAAAGAAAACTATATGTCATCTGACAATAACTGCTTTATGATAACCTATCATTTTTCAGACACATTTAGAACAAAGTAATAATGGGTTGTTATTGGGGGATAGTGGGTACCCTCTAAGGAGGTACCTCTTGACCCCAAAGGTGAATCCGACAACACCACAAGAGGAAGCCTTCAATAAACACCATAGCAGAGGCAGAATGGTGGTAGAAAAAGCCTTTGGTATACTGAAGTGACGTTTCAGGTAAAATATTGCAAATCATTCAAAGTAATTATTGTATTAGTTTAGTTTATACAAATTTATTTTAGTTCGATTGTGTTGGAAGCTATAAGCTTATTGAAACACTCTCGAATCCGTTCCTGGAACAAACCAGTACTAAGCAATGAATGTAAAGTTTCTTGCTCAAGGAAACAACGGCGTGGCCCCGACAGGATTTGAACCCACGCGGTCAGCAATCCTTAGATTAATAGTCCGGCTCGACCACTCGGCCACGCCGCCAAATTGTATTGATCCATTTTATCATAATGTGTTTCACTATATGACCTGTATTGATAATGAATTTACAATATGTTTAAATGATGCTGTCCCAACTTTGATCTCTACTTCTGGCCCTATGTTTGTGAAAATGTCATGCCACTGAAGTAATGACATACCACACGAAACAAATAACATACATAAGCCGCGTCACGACAAAACCAGCATAATTGGTTTGCGACCAGCATGGATCCGCGCAGTCTGATCAGGATCCATGCTGTTTGTTTACAAACCCTATAACAAGTAGAAAAACTGTAAGCGAACAGCATGGATCCTGATCAGACTGCGCTCTGGTCTGGATCCCTGCTGGTCGCAAACCCATTATGTTGGTTATGTCATGACGCGGCTCATATATTTATGCCTTTATTGCAGATACCTACACAAAAGTGGAGGTGTTCTACCGTTTTCACCAGAAAAGAGCAGCCAAGTTGTGGTAGCATGTATGAGGCTACATAACTTTTGTAAAACTAGAGGAGTACAAGAGCCTGTGGAGATCATCACACATGATGATGATGATAATAATTTACCAAATGGAGATGACAGAAGTAATAATAACATTAGACAGGAATTAATTAATTTATTCTGAAAAAATCTTTTTAAGACATAGAAATTAAAATATAATTACTTGTTCTGGTCACTTGAAATATAACATTTCACTCAATTAAAACAATTAAATCTATGTTTTGATCTCAATTAAGCACCCATGTATTACTTAAAAGAATTACTTTGTATTTCACATAAACCAAAATTAGCACAGTACAGTAGTTAACTTATTGTCAGAGTCAATGATACTTTTGATAAGAAAAAATTATATTTGTAATGAATAATAAACATTAAAGGGGTTAAGTAGTAATATTAAATAATATAAGTAAACTATACATGTGAAAGCTATTCAGTTAATATGTTGAATATTAATTTGTGATTTCATGAAATACATTAATTCATTGAATCATTGTGAAAAATAACTACTAAAAATATAGCTTTCAGAAATATCCCCTTGTCTTACAACTATACCTGTTAAATATTAACAATTCAAATACTGCACATTTTTTAACATCATTTTTCATTGGAATACAATGATGTTTAAATTTATGATTGAAGAATTTTTTTCCCTCTAAAAATGTTGTTTGCTGTATTATGACTTTGTTACAAAGATTTCTGATAAGTTATATGGCCATTTAAAAGAATTTGTTTGCAAATTATAACCCTCACCTTGTGACTAGGTTATATAAGCAAACAACCATTTAAATGGGGTAATATAACCTGTCAAAATTCTTTTTTAACTAACAGTATAACAAGTTTCATGTTGATGTCTTTTATAGCTTTTAAATCATTCTATATTACAGGCAATTATGTTAAAAATTCTAAATTGCCTAAAATTCTAAGTTTAAAAAGGACTTAACTCTTGCAACAATCATAATTGCTCAACTGTTACTTCAAAACAAACATGGTTAAAACAATTCAAAATACAGATAGGACAGAAGTGTTTCCTGATAAAAATAGACACCAACACTATGTTAGGGAGGGTGGGTGCTTAAATGAAAATTTTACAATGACTATAAATTGATGATTAAGAAATAATATATCCTAAATTTTGATTTTAGTGCTAAATAAAATCACTGTTCGGAGTCCAGATGTATGAAATTACTTCACGGGGGCAAAGCCCCGTTGATATAATGCTGCACATCTGAAGGACAAACATTGATTTAAATTTATCTATGGTTAAATTTAATGATTGAGATATATTATTTCAATCCTAACACATGTCAACTAATAAATGCTGCAGTACCCGATATTAAGCTAACTTGTGCCTGTAAAGTTTCCATATTAATATTCAGCTCGTAAAATTTTTAATGGTTTCATCAAATGTCCAAATTAAGAATGTCAACATTGATTTTATGACCATTATAACACACAATTTCGGTTCTTCTGAGTTCATAAGGGAAACATACATGTCGTGTTAGAATTTTAAATAAGTTTGTCTAATCTTTTTTTTTATGCTATCTAAAGACTGATAATTACTGATTTAATGTTTTTAATGTTGAATTCAATTCTGTCATAATTGCAGTCTGTTGTTCAACAAGTTGATATATGTCATCCTCTGTTTTCTCTGAAAAATGAAATCAAAATAACTCAGTCTAAAAGATTGATGTATGTACAATTTTCATGTACATACTTAGTGGAACAAGTTTAGATATGGTCAATTTGCAAAAAGTGCATTTAAGTTACAAGAAATTACTTCCAAAACACACTGCATTATATAAATAGTTTATATTCTGATTCAATTTGCAAGTACTGTATTTCAATGTACTAATAATGCCTCAAATCAAGTTATGGGGTTTTTTGTGTATGAGTAGTTAAGGTTGTTTTCTTCACATCACCTGCCCCACACGGCTGTGTGTTTAAAACCCAACAGAGACTTTGGTTTTTTTTCCTTTTGTGGAAGCTACACGTATCTATATCTTATGGGTGATCTGTGGTTCTACTCAAGTGCATGCTTTTCAAGGCCTCAGTTCGCAATCACTAGTATGTTGAATCATGCAAGTTAATAAATGAATAATAATAGAATTGGAGTAATACTATAACATAATAATACTTACTGTCATATTTCGCCTTCTTTGGCACTGGCTTATAACTGGCTCATTATCACCTACAATTTAATGTGCATGAGTATTATTGAATTATTTCCAGCTTGAATAAGAAATAAAACGACAGTTGTTTATGTTAATGAAGGTATTTTTCATAAATATATATGTATACAAGTTTCCAGAAGATTTTAGAAAGCTTTTCTTTTTGAGTTTTTGGCACACTTGACCTCAGTTAAATAAAAGGCAACAATCCTATCATTTTATAAAAAGTGACATGGTGTGACTATAAATAATTTCAACAATACATGTCAACATATATTATTGATAAGACATTATGTACTTTGTTAAATTGCTGAATAAACATTATGTAAAGTTAAGTTATGTTATTCTTACCTTCAAATCCTTTATCCTGCAAAATTTCCTTTCTTCCCAAAGCTAAAAAAAGAAGCCTGTGTTAGTTATTACAAAACTTAAAGTACAAGTCACATGTCCATAAACTGCACAATGTGACATGCTAACTAATAAATGTGAATCTTAAGTATGTAACCTTCTGGTATAAGTATGTAGCCTTCTGGTATGTAAAATTATGTGGATTGCTGCATAATTCACAATATTTGTGTGTCTTTTCTAATTGTATATTTCTGCTCATGACTGTATACCTTACATGTATATAAATATGTATACATCTACCTAGATACCTATTATAGGAAATGACAGCTTAGTTTATGTAACATTATAATGTTAAATCACAGAAAAACAGATACACTAATCTACTATCATCCATAATAAATTCCAATATATATAATAGCATTCATGACTTTAAACATTGACTGCTTGACCAATGAAAGAGGAAATATTAAACTAATTTTGAGTAATTAGCTTTTGTCAATTAAGGATATTTGGAAACTTGATAATTACTGTAACATTGAAAATAATGAAATTTCCTAACAAATTATAATAAATGTATTATCAACATGCTCACAACAATAAAATTTATATACATGTACTTACAGTTTGTCTCACTTCCAACAGGAAGGTCTGGGATTGTAAGGCCAGGATCATTATTTTCTGAAAATGGAATACATTATACAGTTTTATTTCATGCTTTCCAGTGTTTTATGACGTCACAAAGGAAATGCGTGAGTTACACGGCAAAATCAGTAAAGAATACTTAAAATCACTTAAATAGCATGAAATAAAAAGAAAGTTTATTTGTTTTACATATAAGATTGAAATACATTTCATTCGTGAACACCAGCTATTATATTTTCACTCATGGCTACGCCACTCGTGAAAATATTGCATCTGGTGTTCACTCAGTGAAATTATATTTCAATCTTACATGCAAAACAAACAAATATCCTCTATATATCAGTAACAGAAGTGAAAGTGTGAAGAATTCAATCTATGTTTATCATAATTAATTTTATTTATTCTATGTTTAACTTGGGAACAAATGTCTTAATTTTCTTAAAATAGTCTATTCATTTAATACTGTTAAGATGTTTGGATTAAGTTATTGTGCTTCACTTATAATTTATTTTAAGTAAATTTGGTCATTCATCATGAAATTTATTTACACTTAATGACATGATCACAGTATCATTCTACATGTAGTTATAAGTGCAATACAAAACTTTACCAAGAAAGGTGTCTGCACCATTTTCTATCCCTTCTACACTGCAGGTGGGTATTGCCTGTAGAATCTGTGCAGAAATAGCCATGTATATAGAAAATTAGTGAAAAGTCAGGATGTAAATATTAAGAACCATTAAAAAGTTTTTTTTGAAAAGACCAACTTCACTTGTCCTGTTTAGGGGAACACAGCTTCCCATACATACTTCATTCATTATTTTATTCATTCAGTAAATATTTCATTGATTTCAATAATTTTCTGTGATTAAAATATTATACTTAAGGATAAGCATATACATAGTATATATTTAAGGATAAGGGAAACATGAAAAGTTATAAGTGACAAGTGTACACTATTTATTTGCAAATACAAAAAAGTTAAGAACGATTAGAAAGACGATTGATAACGTAAAGGCACATTATGCATATTTGTTAATTCTTTAGAAATGTCAAACATGTGTTAAATAATGTTTTGATATTGATTTAGGAACCTGTAAAATGATTAACAATCATACATGTGATTTAACAGATTCAAAATTGTTGGATGCAGAAAAACAGAGCCCCAGAAGTATTAAATATACAAATGTGACAATGAGTGGCATGATTCATTACCCTAACTAACAACTTCACAGTGGCCAGTGTTAATTTTATACTATAATAATCCAAACCAGTCTATTTTATAGAATTGGTCAACTTATAGAAAGTGGCAATTGGTCGAATTTATTTTATGTCAAAAATTTGTAAAATTTGCTGAAAAATGAATGAAAGAAATAACATAAAATATGGGTCAAAGTAGTTAAATACATGTATATATCAGATATGTCATTCTTTGTATATTGTGAAATAGAACTAATCCGAGAGTAGATCGAGTGACATTGAATCAGTACCGCTACAGACCACGGCTGTAATTTAAGCCTTTTAGATGTTTTAAAGCGATATGTAAAGTTTTGCAAGTACAATTTATGTAAATATACATGTAAATATCGTAAATGATCTATTAATAAACATTGCTGGTTACCTTTCCACTACATCCGCCCAAAAACGGGCTTTGTCCGCGGCTGTAATTGTCTGTGAAAACTTGCCGGTGGCTACATCAGCACTTTCACACTTGCTAATGAGCATATCACGCTCTTGAGTTGTCCAATTAACTTTTCTTGCCTTGTCAGACATAGCTGAATTGTAGCAGACATCGTATTTCAAGTTTGACATTAAATGCGCGTTACCTCCTTTTTTGAAGAGTACGTGTTAGTGCGCAGGTGTAAGAATCGTACGCTTATGAAAATTGTAAGATTTTAGGTTGAACGTACGACCGCGTTGATAAGACAGTCTTACGATCGAGCGTACGACAATCGTAGATCAAAATCGTACGCTAAGATTTCCAAAATCGTACGATCGTTGATAAGACGGGCTCCAGGTGCACAACTACACATGCTGATCAACATTCCTGTAAAGTTTCATGACTATAGGTCAAATACTTTTTGAGTTACGTGCGACACAAAAGTGAACGGACGGACGGACGGAAGGACGGACGGAAGGACGGACGGACAGACGGACGGAAAACGTTTGGATATTATGGCATTTAATCAAAATTGTAAAACAGATAAGTTTAATTATAATACAGGTACCTAACTTGTTGTTCGTTCCTAAAATACTTCAGTAAATATGAAAATAAGGTTATGAAGATAATGATTGCAACATCTTTGTTATATTGTCTTAAAGGCAACTATTAAATATCTTTAACATATCCATCTATTAGACCGATCCTATAATGATGTTCCGCTGTGAAAAGGAAAATAGTTCATCTCATTTAATTTCAGGATTTACTTTTTTCTGTCTCTTTGTCATAAATTTCATATTACACGGACAGTGGTCGGAGACCACTTTTGCATTTTAAATTCTTGAAAATGTATCAATCGTTACAGAAATTAGACTGAAGCTATCGACCATATTGTTAAACGACGAATAAAATAACAGTTTTTGGTATGTGCTACACACGGTATAACATAACAGTTACTAATATTATTTTGATTGATATAATGTTTATTTCCAGTCAGTTATACGCTTTACATGTAATTGCCAATTATCACTGACACATGTGCTGAAAATGTTTTACTTTAGGCAGTTCGACAATGGAGATAACAGTTTATGTGTTTGAAAAAAAAATGTTTACACTTCCTTTAAAGCTATCTTGCTTTATTTTTTATAATAAAATATATTTACTGGACTGATTGACAGTTTGTCGATTTACCAAAGTGAACGTGTTGCGTTTCATTTGAAATAGTTCAAGTCTGTTGAACAATTATAATTTCAAACACTAAATACATTTAATGACAGGATTAAAGGCGATCGATAACATTGATGGCAACTTCATTGGCAATTTAAGATCAAATGTTAACACCGAATATGAAATATTAACCCTTTGTTTTATGCCAGTAAGTTAGTTAAGTCAATTCCGTAAGTGTAAGCATAAGGCACCGGTTGAACAAAAATTTGAATTCCAAAGGTAGTAGGTCCAGAACACGTTGGGTTTTGAGATTGGAGATATATTCTGTTCTCCATTTAAATACTGTGTGGGAAATAATGGTATTTAAATACCATAATGTATATATAGGATTTATAGTAAGCATAGATATTATTGTGTTGTATACAAGTTAAACTTTATTTCAAATTACTAGATGAAGATTCAAATTGTCGTAACCAGGAATCGTTTTGCGAGAACAGTTACTTTTTCAACCAGGTACTATTGAATATCTGTTAAGGACCCTTCGAAAACATGAGTGATATAAACTTTGCTTTCCTTCAAAACTATGACATGTTTAAATTATATGTATGTATAATTAAAAAAAAACAAGAAAAAAATACATACTGTCAAACTAGCTTTTACAGTTTACTTAATCTATGTTTTACATATTCAGTTTGCTTTTTTGACATTATCTTATTTGACGACATACGTTATTTCTTCTTACTTAATCGCTTTACATTTGGTTGCATTTCTACTTACTATTGTATAAGGGATTGTCGAATGCAATATTAAGTAAAATTGGCATTTTTACTTGTTGATATGAAAACAGAGGTTATGGATCTTACAAGATCAGTTTTTTATTGAAATGCAGATATCCAATCAATTTTTGGTATATTTATACCAAATTTTAAGAACTTATGTATAATAATGTTTATCAATTTGTGTTTTATAGGCGTACAATTTCGACATTGAATCTGCTAGAATATTTACAATGAACAGTCTATTCAAAAATGATTTTCAATTATTAAGTGATAAAAAAGTACATTATTCCTATAATCAACTGATGCGGAAAAAAAGACAATTATATGCGATTGCTATACACCAAATTTAATTACAATATCTCATTCACAATTCTAGTTATTGTCGAAAACCATTTTGCTTTTTAAGTATCGGTGACCTTGACCTTGATCCCAGAGTGTCCAAATACCAACCAGTGTCTTTACATAAGCTTGCTATAACCCAAGGTTGAATACAATATCTCATTCCTTACTCTAGTTATTGTCCGTCCAACAATTTTCTATTTTAAGTAACAGTGACATTTACCTTGACTGTAGGGGGTCAAAATGCAACATCAACCAGGGCCTTTATTTAAAAATTTCTATAGGCTATAAAAAGGCTATAATCACAATACCTCATTCCAAACTCTATTTATTATCCGGAAACCATGATATGGACCGACCGACAAACTTATGCAAATTGTTGTTAACAAGGTTTTTTGTTTTTTTTGTTTTTTTTTGTAGGAAAATGAATGACAAAATGAAATGTGAAAACTGGTGACCCGCTTTGTAATTGCATATCCCATCATATCGCTTTCTAAGTACTGTTTATTTCTCATAACTAAGTTTCGGTTATTTCAAATCGCAATATTATCTAGATCCATGATCTTCGTTAATGGTCATTGGTCCACTTTTTTAATTGCAGTATTGCTATATTTCATGAGTTGAATGTTTACCCATATTTTATATGTTTATCTAGTTATTTAGTATTATTATAAATTGTTTTATATTATTATTATATTATTATTATTATTATTATTATTATTAGTAGTAGTAGTAGTAGTAGTAGTAGTAGTAGTATATTATTATTTTTATTATTATTGTTATTATTATTATTATTATTATTATTATTATTATTATTATTATTATTATTATTATTATTATTATTATTATTATTATTATTATTATTGTTATCAGTCTTGCTATTTTAAAGCCCTATTCATTAATGCCTAAAGTAAAATGATTTTGTTTTCAGGTTTCGCACGAAAACAGCCAACGAGCAAGAAAGAATGGTTAGTTTCTCATTATGATACAATTTCATCAAAAGTACGAGGGTTGTTCAAAAAGTAATAGGACTGCAGGTCTACTGTTCACATTTTTAAATTTACGTACACAATTTTACATGAGACAAATATCGGAACATGTTCTTTATATACAGTGAAAAAATCAAAACAAAATGTAAACAAATGAAATTTCTGTGAATTTTTTAAATGACAGAGGGTACGAAACGCGGCGCACGCTAACAATACAATAATTGACGTTCATGACGTCGTAAAATAAATCGAAATTGTAATAAGCGTCATTCTTTCTGAAAGTAGTCTCCCTAGTCTCTAGGTGTATGAGTCATGTAACTTTTACTTTGCCTCATATGTGGAGATGAAGCAAGAAAAAAAGCGATTACATTCTCGTTCCACTGTTTGAAAAAAAAATAATAAAATAAATGCCCGATAGCCGGCCATTCTCCGGGTTTTCTCGTGTTTTTGAGTAACTTTGGAACTCAATAGGACTGAAAGTGTTAAAGCAAAAGCAATTTATGTTATTAATTTACTCATGTCATTGTATATTTTTAAAACAATATGATTATATGCATAACAATAAAGATATTTCTCAATTGAAAAGTATCATTTTCTACTTAGCACAGTCTATCGTTTAATAAAACAAGTTTTCGGGAAACACTACTAGAGAGTCTAATTTTTACCGTTAACTATTACATTTATTTATTGATTACACGTATATCTAGTTAAATACAATAAAATAGTGTTTATAACAAATGTCTTATTTACAATCCTTTGGTTAAAACTGAATAAGTAGACCCGAAGCAGATACAAACAACGATAAACAGTTCGCGTACCGTTTACCGTGGATTCTTTTGTAGCGCTTTTGCAATTGACGTCACTAACGTCCCGTCAATTTTCAACTTTCATCCTCGCCCTTTCTCGTTAGTGATCTTGTATTTGCAGTTTTTGAATTGCTTGTGCCAGCTGAAAACAAGTGTCCTGATGGCAGGATAATTGTCCTTTGTTTATTTAATCATTTTGTTTGTATCAGAATGATTATAGTCAATCTGTTGGCAAAATTTAACGATGGCACACATTTTCTGTTTGTTAACAAATGTCATATTTCTACATCTAACGCTATGACCGCTGCTGTTCAAAACTTAATAAATAGGCCATTTCATGTCCGAATGACGTCAAATTTAGACATAATGTCACATTAATATATTTCAACGTATTGATGGAACACAGGGGAAAACAAATAGTTATTTATGAATAAATTAGAAGTAGAACTTAGCTCCAATAACTATATTTATGTGCTGCGCCGGGTGCGTGTTACCATGGTTATTCAATAGCAAAGGAAATCCGCGTTTAGCAAAATAGATTAAAAAAATTATGTTTGATTTGTAGAAAACATTTTACGATTCCTGTACATATGAAAATATTCTAAATTGAATGAAAGTTGAATACGCAAGACTCCCAGTCCTATTACTTTTTGAACAACCCTCGTACTTTATTAGATGTGATTTGAAATAGTAACTTCGATTGCAAGTTTATGCTTATACTATTCATAAGTCAATAAAACTACGTTTGAAATAAAGACACTGTAAATATCAGTGTAACCCACCATTCTTTTTTTCTCCATAATTTAAAAAATAAAAAATAAAAAAAATAAACTATGGTTCCTGTAACAATTTGTCATAATTGATGGTGCGATAATAGGATTTTGTGAAAATATGAACGCCTATATTCAGTTTCAACACTATATATTTTTAACAAACAAACGCAGATTCGATTGTGTAGAAAGATGCACATTTTAAAAAAAAATATCTGCTAAACTTTTACCAAAGTTGTGGTGTCGCTTTCAAGAAATTAAAAGTTAAGATCGAAATTTATAGATATTTAATTTCCAGGTTCGGTTAACCCCAAATCCATTGGATCAATAAAACAACGCTTATTTGTAAATTCATTTTATAAACTTTGTTGGCATTTTGATTTGGTCAAAAATAAGTACAATTTTTATGTCAACAACGAAATTTATTTTTGCTTATTGCACCTA